GCTAAAAACCAAATAGAAATTATCTGGAAAAAAAAGGAACATTTTAGATCCAAGAAAGACTGGAGGAGGTGGATTTGCCTCACAACAGCTGATTCCTGTTTACGCTTTGGATATAGGTTTAAGACTCTGACCCACAAAATGAGTATATCTAATATTTCCAGACTTGCAAAGAAAACCTCTTCGGCGCCCTCTGTTGGACAAGCCAGCCCAACAACTGAGAGTTCTGTCAGTACATTGCTACAGCGTGACAAAGCAAGCACAGCTCAAGATGAAACACAGGCCTCATTAAAATTAATTCAAGAAATCTTGCAGAAAAACCATGAGGGGACACAAATTAAACTGGAGAAAGTAAACAAAGAAATTCTGGATATAAAGACACAATTTGAAGTCCAAAATCAAAAGATCATTAAAAATGAACAGAATATCCAGAAAGTGGAAAATAAAACTGAGGACATTGATAAAAAGGTGGAAATGTTATTGCAAAAGAATGAAGGACAAACAAATCAAGAGCTAGAACGGGCTATGGCAACGGTAGAAATGAGAGAGGTGGAACATTATTTGAGATTTCAAAATACTCCTGAAGATAGTGAAGAAAATATAGAAATGGTGATCATTGTATTATTGGTAGAACTTTTAAATGCAGACAGAGCAGCTATCCAGAATGAAATGAATCAAATATTCCGCATGAATTCAAGCTATGCAAGAAAAAACAGACTACTGTTTGAACTGCATCAACAACAAGGGGATAAGCAGATGGGAGAGATGGCCCAAGGAGCAATGGCACAAGGAGAACAACAGAAGGAGAAATGTGAACAAACAGGTGAAGGAGAAGGAACTGCCAGAAAACAAAGGACCACAAGATCGACTAGACCAAAATATAAGTAATGAAAGAGGAAATGGAGAAAAAAATGATTTTTTTTTGGTAAACATACATGGACTAAACTCCCCATCAAAAAGAAATAATTTTTTTAGGAAACTTCAGAGATTAAATATAGATATAATCTGTTTACAAGAGACACGCATAAAAAACAACATTATAAACTGTTGGAATATCTGAAAATGGGGAAGCTTCATTACACATCAGCACAACAAAAGAAACGAGGGGTGGCTGTATACGTTAAAGAGACAATAGATTCTAAATTATTATATTCAGATGAAGAAAGAAGAATTGTAATGGTTGAAATATATTTACATCAAAAACAAATACTGTTAGTGGCAATTTATGCCCCAAATGACAATCAAGAACAATTTTATCAAAGATTACACAGGAAACTAATAGAAATGGAAAACCAAAAATATGTTTAATAGGACATTTTAACGTGATAGTAGTGGAACAATGGATTATAAAAGTAGCAAAACAGGAAAACCCGTAAGAAGACTACCCAAGACATTCTTTGATATGGCAGAAGAAATTGGAATACAAGATGCTGGAGAGAAATCAATCCTCAAAACTGACAATATACTTTTTACTCAAATAGCCATAAATCTTGGTCAAGAATTGACATGATTTGGATGACTTCTGAATTAAGGATGGATATACAGGAAATTGAGATAGAAATAGGCACATGGGCAGATCATAACCCTTTAAAAGTGATATGGAAAGGAATACAAAAAAAAAAAAAAAAAAAAAACCAAGATGGATTTTAAATCAATCTATACTAAAAGACAAAGAATTAATAGAGTTGGTGAAAAGAGAAATGGGATTCTTCTTTAAAGAAAATAAAAAAGATACATCACTACAAAATTTATGGGACACAGCTAAAGCGTATTTTAGAGGTATAGCTATAATGTATATGGCAAAGAAAAATAAACAGAGAAGACAGCAATATTTATTATTAAAAGAAACGTTTAGAAAATTAGAGACAGAATTACAACAAAACCCACAGAAAAAGACTTTGAAAAGAGAAATGGAAATAATAAAACATAAGCTGAATTTGTTGGACTGAGAAAAGTTGGCGGAACAAATAAAGAGAGCAAAACAAAATTTCTTCAAAAATGCTAATAAGCCAGGAAGATGGCTAGCTTATAAGCTTAAAAAACAGAAAAAGAAGAAAATAATACATAATTTAGTAGATGGGAAAGGTTGTTTACAATTTAAAAAGGAAGAAATAAAAAAGATAATTAAGGAATATTAGAAGGAATTGTATGGTGAAGAGGAGGCTGCAAGAGAGAGAATTGCTCAATACCTAGAAGAAAGTAAATTGCCAAAAAATTCCAGAGACATTTAAAACTATGTTAGAAGAAAGAATAACAATGATGGAGATATTAGAGGCTGTAAAACAACAAAAAAATGGGAAAACACCAGGTCCAGATGGGCTACTGACGGAACTTTATAAAAATCTACAAGATACATTAAGCGAACCACTGAAAGATGTTTGTAATGGACTATTGTTAGAGGCCAAACTTCCAAATACATCGATAGAAGCAAATATTACTTTGATACCAAAACAAGATTCAGACTTGATGTATATTAAGAACTATAGACCGATTTCATTACTCAATGTGGATTACAAAATTTTTACTTCAATAATGGAAGAGATTGAAAAAATACTTAGTTGAATTTATACATCCAGATCAAAATGGCTTTTTACCGAAGAGACAAATTAAAAACAATTTAAGGGTGATAATGGATGTATTAGAATACTATGAATTACATCCAGGGAAACACTAGCATTAGTGTTTTTAGACACCCAAAAGGCATTTGATAATGTTTCCCCGCAATTTATGGTTCAGCAATTGCAAATAATGGATTTTGGAAAGAATTTTACAAATATGATAAAAACAATATATAGCAATCAGACAGCAAAGTGATAGTGAATGGAGATTATACTGAGAGCTTTGAGATAAGAAAAGGTAAGAGACAAGGGAGTCCACTATCTCCATTATTATTTATCTTTACTTTGGAAGTGTTAAATAGAAGCATAAGACAGGACACAGAAATTAAAGGATTGAAAATAAAAGATGAAACATATAAGTTACAAGCATTTGCTGATGAATTAGTGTTTATCTTGGAAGAACCTTTAGAGATGATTCCTAAACTATGGGGAAAGATAGAAGAATATGGAGAAATGGCAGGATTAAAAATAAATAAAGAAAAAACTAAAGTAATAGTTAGGAATCACACAGATAAACAAAAAAAGGCAAATACTAGAGAAAACAAAGGTACAAATAGTGAAAAAAGTTAAATATTTAGGTATTCATCTTTCAGCTAAGTGTTTGTCAATAAAAGAAGACAATTATACAAAACTATTGAAGCAAATAAAGCTAGACTTGGAAAGATGGAAAAATCTGCAGCTATCAATATTAGGAAGAATTGCTACAGTAAAAATGAATGTGTTGCCGAAGATTTTATTTCTATTTCAAATGATTCCGATAAAACTTGAGAGAAAATTCTTTCAAGATTTAAATTCATTAATTTTGAACTTTATTTGGCAGGGGAAGAAAGCTAGAACTAGGATGAAAACATTACAAGATGCTAAGGAAAATGGAGGTTTTGGGTTGCCAGAATGGACATTGTATACCAAGCATCTGTGTTAACATGGGTGAAAGAGTGAATAACACTTAGAAATAAAAGGTTGTTGTATCTAGAGGGACATGATTTACAATTGGGGTGGCACGCTTTCTTATGGTATGGGAAAAACAGAGTCCATAAGTACTTTCAAAATCATTTTATAAGAAATGCCTTGTCAACAGTATGGGAAAAAATTAAAGCTAAAATATATCTAAAAATTGAATTTATCAGGGTGGTTATCAACGATGGAGGCATTTATACAGTACATCCGAACTTGGTAGGCTTTGAAAAAAATATGGACATATAGAGATATTCTAAATATTGATGGGAAATTAAAATCTAAACAAGAACTGGAAAATCAGGGAATTAACTTGTCCTGGTGGGCACATTTAAAGATACAAAGTAGATATGAAAAAGATGTAAAAATGTATGGATTTTATAAGGATCAAACTGTGCTTGATAAGATTTTGTTAACCTCAGATGAGAAACTAATTAAGAAAATGTATAACTTTTTGTTAATTTTGGATATGGAAAGTGAAGAAGTGAAGGAAACAGTGATAAGATGGGCGAAAAACTTTGGCTATAATATAGAATTAGAAAAATGGCAACTGTTATGGGAGAGAAACTACAAACTAACAATGTCAACTTCATATAAAGAAAATCTGTATAAAATATTTTACAGATGGCATCTGCCACCAGCAAGATTAGCAAAAATGTTTGAAAATATGTCAGATAGATGTTGGAAATGTAAACATAACATAGGCACGTACTATCACATTTGGTGGACATGTGGCAAGGCTCAGGCCTATTGGAGAAAGATACATATGTGGTTAGAAAAAATATTGGGTGAAGAAGTTGAATTTAAACCTGAACTTTTTTTACTAGGTATTATTCCTGAAAAGACTAATAAGCAGAAATTATATTTAATCTTACACATCATCACAGCAGCAAGAATAATTTTTGCACAATACTGGAAGAATGAAGGATTGCCATCAGAAGAAGAAATAATCAGGAAAATATTGGAATGTGCAGAGATGGACAGATTAACTATGAGGTTGAAAGATAAAGAAGATACAGACTATTATCAAACTTGGGACTTATTTTATTGTTGGCTAGAGGAAAGAATGAAGGATTAGGAATTGAACATGTATTAGCATAGCTAATTCCAGACTAATGATTTTATTAGATGGCTATATGCATGCCTCTTTAATCATACATTTTAATAGCACTGATCAGTTTAATATTCTGGTTAATATATGAAATCAAACTGATTTAATCCTAAACAAATGTATGAATTTTCTGATTGTTGCATCAATGTGACTGCTTTTAAAAAACAAAATAATGTATGTGCTATACCTGTTAGCAGTAAAATGTCACAGAACTACTTTAAAATAAAGCTTAAAATTATTAATTTAACATCTTAATCAAACATTTTCTAATAAACTACTATAATCTGTCCTAATGCTAGGAACAAATATTTAAGAATTACCTTTATGATTCTTTCTCGCTGGTTATTGAATATCTCTTTCAGAAATAAAGCACCGAACAGAGCAGAAGGAAAATGACTCTTCTGAAATTTAGAAGCAGGCTTTTATCTGTTGATTATTGAAAGATGCATGGGGAGTGGTCCTTTTTTTTGAAGGGTTTGAACTCTAGACTGTTAATAGTTGAACACTGACATTAGAAAGCAAACCTAACTGCACAATAAAATAATAAAGCAATCCTTTTATAATTCTTTTGTAATTAACCCACATTTAGATCAAACAGAACCTGCGTCACCATGCTCCAGAGAGAAAGAGATTGAATAACTCAGAAAGTTGGAAAAAAGTAAATATGCAGAAATTGCCTAATTGACATCAGAAAGCAAACCTATATTGCACAATCACTTCATAAACAAACTTTTTTGCAATTCAGAATTAACTTTATAAAGCCAGTGGTGGAATTCAGCCAGTTCGCACCAGTTCGGTAGAACTGGTAGCTAATTTTTTGTTCTCCAGGCCCAGAATGGACTTCCGGAAGTGGCATCCTCACAGACAACCAGTTGTTCACATATATGAATCCATCACTGTATAAAGCCACATTTAGATCATGAATTAAAGTGAGAGATCTACAAATAATTAGCAATTAAATCAGGATTGGAAGATATGGGTGGGCAGCTATAGTTGCTAATATTCTACTTTAGTTATGTGCCCCTCTTTCCATTTTTTATACTTGTTCCTGTTATCTTTCAATTTATCAGAGAGTTCTTTATGCAGCCATGCTGGTTTCTTTTGAGAGCTATTATTTTTCTTGTTTGTTGGTGGGTTATTTTTTTAAAAAAAAAATTTCCCAAGCTTCTTATTTTCCCTTTGAGGATTCTCATCCATGGAATCCTTCCCAAGCCCTCTCTAAGTTTATTGAAATTAGCTCTCTTAAAGTCCAAGACTCTAGTTTGACTGTGTTCTATTGTCATGTGCTTCCTATGTACCTTAGTTAGCTGACTAGCAAAAAGTTCATCTATTTCCCTTGTATGGTTGGGTGGCCTATAATATACACCTATGGCAATGTCATTTTTCCCCCTTTTCCCTGCATTTAAGACAGTTTTCATCATTGTTGTGCCCTATTTCTGTAGATATGTAGTTATTTCTTATATAGAGAGGAACTCCGCTTCTTCTTTTATTTGGTCTCTTTCTTTTAAACAATTGAAATCCCTCTAACTGAGTGTTCCATTTGTGGGTTTTATCCCACCATGTCTCCATAATGTCAACTATATCATATCTGCCCTCATTTACCTGAATTTCTAGTTCACCTTATTTACTGTTCATACTCTGTGCATTGGTGTATAGACATTTGAGTTCTTAATGACTGACACCTATGTGTTAGTCCACTTTGTGTGACACTCGCTATTAAAAGCTTAATTTTGCTTGATAGAAAGGTTGATATTCTTGTCCACACAAACATCTATATTACATGCACTGCTAATTCTGTAATTTTTTGATTTCTGTTTCTTTTGTACATTGTTTCATTGGACCAGCTATATACATTATGACCATTCAGCATGAATCCCTGGCTAGCTAGACAGAATGGTCCTCAAAACATGAATTCTTATACCATTTCATGGTTTCCAAAATTGTAATTTCTGATTTTTTGGGTCAGTGTCTGTTGCTGGGTTAATTTCCTTCTCAATTCTGTCTAAAAGGTGTTAATTTTTGTTCCAGGGGGAATCCAGTGTTAAATTATTTTACTGTTGTGTACCTTTTGGTGTTTCTATTCTAATTCTGTCAATTCTAATTATCTGTCTATCCTTTTCCTGAAAAAAAAGTGTGTCTATCTACAAGAACCTTTTGAAGCTCAAGTCTGCTTGTGTGGGGAAATAATTTTCTTAAGTTATTTTTCTTAATCTATCACTTATTGGTGAAACTACTATGAAGCTTTTCTGAAACATATAAGCATTTCTCAATCTCTAAAACAATGTGGTCTATTTTAGAATAAACGTTAAATGCAGATTCTTCTGCCCCTGGAAAATTGCATACCTTAAAATATTAGGCTTTTAAAATTATTTGGAGCTTTCTGCATTCTCAAGCTGCCTACCATTTTTTTCCTTCAAGTTGCAAGCCTTGTCTTTAATATGTTGCAAATGTTCAAGTTCAAAAGTGAAACATTTCATGTATGTTCTCTTAGCAGAATCCAGCCTTTCTTTTGTCATCTGGAATGTCCTCATTTTGTCTGCCTATCTGTTTCTTTGACCACTGCAGTATTAATGCCTTTTCAAACTGCCTGCAAGCTACCCCTCCTCACCCTCATGTACATCTTCTTTTCTTGTTCTTTGTTCTCCATACCTTTGTCTGCATCTCCTGGGAGAGTCCAACCAGAAGGGGGGGCAGAATCTTATTCTCATGCCTTTCAACCCTGCATAGATGACCCCCCCAACCTTTGAAAGCAGAGCACACAGACCCACATGCTGCCTCCATCCATTTGAGCCATGGAATTGGGTTTTGAATCCAGCCATCCACTAAAAAGCCACCATGCAACCTGAGTAGAACATCTTCCCAAATCCTACCATTCCCCAGATGCCTATGAAAAACTACAAAGCAGAAGGAAGAAATCCTGGAGCCACTGTGAAATGTGAAGCCTCAGAAGAGAAAATTAGAAAGACTATGGGGAGAGGTGGAAACTCATTGTAAAATTTTCTTTCTGCCCCATTTGTATTGTAACAAGCCAGTTAAATGTATTAACGGAGAGATGACATTTGGGAATAGTTGGCACAGTGCAAGTAGTGAACACCTTGGACTTTTGTCTGGTGGGAGGGAAAATTTATCCAGAATGTTTGCATTGCCTGTTTTGTAGAAGTAGCCGCACATACACACACAAACACCATTCATAATCACACTTGAGTCTCTTTCACCTACCTTCAGTAAAGTTCCCAAGGCTGATTTTTGCTCTATTGCACCAAAGGTTTGCAGGAAAAACTTCCAACAAATTCCAATGGGGAGGGAACCATGCCCCCTCAGGTGATTTGCAAATTCATATGCCCTGACTGAGGAAGTAGCAGGAAAGAGATCCCCAAACCTCAGCCCAGAATATCTTGCACTGGTGAACTCAGAGCTCATTATGTGCAATTTAAAGAAAAATTTGATAGCTGGCTTGCATACAAGCTAAACTCAATTGGACATTACAAACGTGGATGCACTGAACTAAGAGAAAAGGCAGGAAACAACCTTTGAAAATGGGCAGCCAATGGTAATGTACCAAGGAAAACCATGGCTATTTCTTTTGTACATTGTTTCATTGGACCAGCTACAGACATTTTGACCATTCAGCATAAATCCCTGGCTAGCTAGACAGAATGGTCCTCAAAACATGAATTCTTATATCATTTCATGGTTTCCAAAATTGTCATTTCTGATTTTTTTGGTCAGTGTCTCTTGTTGGGTTAATTTCCTTCTCAATTCTGTCTAAAAGATGTTAATTTTTGTTCCAGGGGAAATGCAGTGTTAAGTTATTTTATTGTTGTGTACCTTTTGGTGTTTCTATTCTAATTCTGTCAATTCTAATTATCTGTCTATCCTTTCCCTGAAAAAAAATATGTGTGTCTATCTACAAGAGCCTTTTGAAGCTCAAGTCTGCTTGTGTGGGGAAATAATTTTCTTAAGTTATTTTTCTTATCCTATCAGTAATTGGTGAAACCAGTGCTTTTCAACCAGTGGTACGGGTACCACCTGTGGTACATTGGCACCTGGCAGGTGGTACGTGACCATCCTAGAAAACTGGTAGTGGGGGAGGGGAATGAGCTGAACTGGTGGCAGTACCGCACAACCCTGAGCGAGACATGGCTGGAGTTGCAGGGCTGTCAGGGCTCAGTGGAAGCGCCAGGATCAGCGCCAGGCTCCAGCTGGAGCTCAGCACTGATCCTGGAGCTTCTGCTGAGCTCAGAAGAGGTGCCAATCAGCTGGAATGTTGCAGCATTCTTGTGATTTACATTCAGATGCTTGGCAACTGATTCATATTTATGACAGTCACAGTGTCCCAGGGTCATGTGAAGTGACCAAAACCTGCTACAACCACCCAGCAGACAGGGGAATAAAAACCAAACACCCCCACCCCAACCCCACTGCCAATCCTCAACAGAAATGTTCACAACAATGAAAACCTCGGACAGGAGGAAGAGCACCACTGGGCGGGCAAGCACCGGGCGCTGTCTTGCTCGGCTGTGCCTTGGAGGGCACTTTTTTCAGTGCCATTGTAACTTTGAACAGTCATTAAGCGAACTGTTGTAAGTCGAGGACTACCTGTACTTTATCACTTTTTTCCTTTTTTTTCTGTGGTCATCAAGTTTTTGACACCTTGCTAGGCAACTCGTGGTACTCGGATGTTGCCATATCCTAAAAGTGGTACAATGGGTGAAAAGATTGAAAAGCCCTGGGTGAAACTACTATGAAGCTTTTCTGAAACATATACACATTTCTCAATCTCTAAAACAATGTGGTCTATTTTAGAATAAAACGTTAAAGGCAGATTCTCCTGCCCCTGGAAAATTGCATACCTTAAAATATTAGGCTTTTAAAATTATTTGGAGCTTTCAGCATTCTCAAGCTGCCTACCATTTTTTCCTTCAAGTTGCAAGCCTTGACTTTAATATGTTGCAAATGTTCAAGTTCAAAAGTGAAACATTTCATGTATGTTCTCTTAGCAGAATCCAGCCTTTCTTTTGTCATCTGGAATGTCCTCATTTTGTCTACCTATCTGTTTCTTTGACCACTGCAGTACTAATGCCTTTTCAAACTGCCTGCAAGCTACCCCTCCTCACCCTCATGTACATCTTCTTTTCTTGTCCTTTGTTCTCCATACCTTTTGTCTGCCTCTTCTGGGAGAGTCCAACCAGAAGGGGGGGGCAGAATCTTATTCTCATGCCTTTCAGCCCTGCATAGATGACCTCCCACAATCTTTGGAAGCAGAGCACAAAGACCCAGACGCTGCCTCCATCCATTTGAGCCATGGAATTGGGTTTTGAATCCAACCATCCACTAAAAAGCCACCATGCAACCTGAGTGGAACATCTTCCCAAATCCTACCATTCCCCAAATGCCTGTGAAAAACTACAAAGCAGAAGGAAGAAATCCTGGAGCCACTGGTGAAATGTGAAGCCTCAGAAGAGAAAATTAGAAAGACTATGGGGGGAGGGTGGAAACTCATTGTAAAGTTTTCTTTCTGCCCCATTTGTATTGTAACAAGCCAGTTGAATTTATTAACGGAGAGATGGCATTTGGGAATAGTTGGCACAGCGCAAGTACTGAACACCTTGGACTTTTGTCTTGTG